CAGTTTAATTGGGTTAAGTGGCCATTAGTGGCAAAAGCAGGGCGGCTGTGTGCAGAAGGGTTTTTAATTTTACTCCTTAAATGATGCTCACTCCCCAGAGAGGCCACTGATGGTGGAACTCTGCCCATTGGATCCCCCAGAACCAAGTCCAGGGCTGCACCTCCCCCTGCCCCATCCATGCAAGCCTGCTGGGGCGTGTGGCAGGGGTGCCCACTGCCCAGGAAAGAAACTGAGGGGACGGGAACTTGCCTCCTAGAATCTGCCCCCTTTGCCAGGTAGGACTCCCAGGTCCTTAGATCATTCCAGGGCCAGCCTCTGTCTGAGACTCCTCTTTTCTTAGTTCTGTCCCCTTGTGGACAGGAAATGCCACAAGGACTAATTGATGATAGCACAGAGGAAGGCAGTATCTGGGGGCAGTTTGTAGGACATGGAGACCAGCTGCCTGGATCTAAAGCGTGGTTTTCTGTGAGACCTGAGGCAGGTGGCTTAACCTCTCTGAGGCTCAGTTTCCTCACATGTAGGATGGAAGTAAGAAAAGTAATGTGAGGTGAGGATTTGGAGCCATGTGGAATGTTCAGGCTTATCTTAGGCCTGGCACTTAGCAAAAGAGACCGGTGATTATGGGATGGAATTATTTCTACCTTTTTATGGGGAAAGTCTTGAACTCTGAATACATAGAATCATTGAAATTCTCACATTGAAAATGTAAAAAAAAAACAATATTGATGCTCCCCTGTATCCCAGAGAATCTGAAGTACTTGGTCTGAGGAGGGTCCTGGGCATCATGATTTTAAAAGCTTTCCAGCTGTCCAACATGCAACCAGGGCTCAACAAGCACTGCATGGAGGCAAAGTATCTGGAAAGTTCTTGGTCCCTGGGACAGTGGGTATTGGTACCTTAGGTGGACGAACAACCTAACTTAGGCATATAGGAAGGGCAGGGCTTAAGCCTAGGGCTGGGGTTTCTATAGATTCTGGATTCCCAACTAGGCCTCTCCACTGCCCCATGTTTACCTGAAGTTGGAGGTAAAAGGGCCCCCCAGGGAGCAGGCATCTAGCCCCCACACTACTTCCTCAGGAACCTACTCTAACCTGGCTGGCCTGGTCCTGGAGTTCCCATACTTGGAACAAGATACACCAAGTCACAATGCCTTTGGCCTCATTCTTGGGGAGGCTGGACTCTCCTTCCCTGGGGTCACCCTAACCTTATCCAAGGCAGTGCCTCCTCCCATGGCCTCTCCTCTGAGTCACAAAGTAAAGGTGCCACAGATGATGCTCCAGGTGGCACAACCTTCAAGGACACTGTCCACACTGTGGCCTTTTTGAATGATGGCCCTGGAGTTGTGAAACCAGAAGTACTACGTAGGAAGGGTGCCTGCATCCTCCACCCCCCGATCTTGTTTTCTTTTGAGATGGGATCTTTCTGCATTAACCAGCTTGAATCCTGGGGCTCAAGAGATCCTCTTGCCTCACTTTCCCAAGTAGCTGGGACTACAGGTACATGCTACTGGGGCTAGATTTTGTGTCCCTATTTGTACAGAGGGGGAAACTAGGGCCTGGGATGGGAATGGTCTGAGAGCTCCAGTTGGGGCAGGAATAGGGTCTGTCTTCCCTGCTGCAACCCCAGCACCAGCACAGGGCCTGCCACATAGTTGGCCCTTCGTGAACACTGGTGACTAAATGGAGGGAGGAATAAAACAATGAAGAGATACTTTTGTGAGAAAGGAGCCATGAGCCAATACCCCAGCTGGTAGGACCAGTGCCCTGATTTGGGCCCAGCTCTGCCCACAGTGCACATAAGAACTAAATAAAGCACCTTCTTATCCTTCCTGGGATTCAAGACCCTAAAAGAGCCATCCCTGGTTCAGAGGTCCCATCTCCTTGGATAGTTGAAGTTCCAAGACAGGTTTGCCTCCATGTGTCCAAAGCTCAGGTCCAACATATTTCCTGGACTTGGGGATGCTGCTTGTCTGAGGTGCAAGGCCCCTAATCTGGCCTGCTTTTGTCTGACTCTTGGCCCCAGAAACTACCCTGTGCAACTTTCAGAACCATCCAGTTGTCCCTGATTAGATGAGACAATGAACTTCTGTCCTGTGTTGCTCTGCTCCCTCTTTGCAAGCCCCAAATTAAAATTCCAGACCAGAGCAAGGGATTTAAATTGGATTACTGGATAGGGTCCAGGGAGACATGAACAATGGAGTGGGAAGCGAGGGTCCAGCACCCCCAACACCCCTCCTTCCATGTGTACACAGGCTGCAAACAAATGTGAAAAAGAAGAAAGAGACCAGAACTTGATTAAAAGCAAATTCAAAACATAATGAAACTCAGAGCTCACTTTGAACAATTAGGACCAAGGAGGAGGAAGGATGGTCCCCCTCTTTCCTCTGGCCATATGAGAAGAGGCATCATGTGGGCCTGGAAATCAGAAGCAGGAGATCATTGGCCAGGAGAGAGCTGGGAGGGCAGGAGCTGTGACCTCAGTGCATACCTCAGGGATAATATGGGGAGCAAGGGCCCAGCTCAGGATCAGAGAGACTTGGGTTCAAATCCTGGCTCTGCCATATCCTGTCCTGACACATGACATCTCTTGAGTTTGTGCACCCCTCTGTGGAATGGGGTGGCAGGGCCTCCCTCTAGGGGTTGCTGTGAGAATGACTTGTGGACTGAGCACATGGTGGGTGCAGTCAGTGGATATGCCTTTTCCCATTATTCTTCCATTGAAATAATTTGTAGTTACTGTATAGGCCACAGGCTGGGCTGTAGATGTGGTAGAAAGGAGATGTCTCAACTCACAGGGCAGGATCCAGAACATGGGTGCAGGAAGAGGGTCGAGACTAAGACTCCAGGCCTTTGGCTGCAGCTCCCCAGGGAATTCCCCCAACTCCTCACCAACTATGAGGATCAACTGTTTCTCTATGGTTGGTTAAGGGACTTGGAAAAGTCTCTAGATGGTGACTGGCTCTGAGGTTCCTATGTGGAGAGCTGGTCATTGCCACCACTCATCTACCCTCCATGAGCGGGGAGAGACCTTCAGATATCACTGATGCTGCTACTGAAGCTGAAGACTTTACCTCCTCCAAGTACAGCTTGTTTCCCCAACTGTCTTCCCACACCTGCCACCAGGAGGTCTTGAAGGTCAGTTGGGGCTGGGATCTCTGAGCCCAGCACTGAGTCCCCTGGATCCACACTGGGTAGGAGGCCCTCGGAGTCCATCTTCTCTGAACTCCTGGCCCTAGGAGATCAGACTCTCCTTCTTCCATGATGTCAGGGCACATAGGGACGGGCAGGGGACCCCATGATGAACAGCAGGGACAGCTCCTGGAGAAGGGGACTCTAGTTCTCTCTTGGGGCCCAGATGTTGTATAGGGGGTCTGAGCTGGGATGGCAACCCTGACTTGATCCTGTCAGGACCCTGGTCTGAGCAAGTATAGACTTGAGAAAGTATAGACTTGCTCATTTTTTGAGAAACCTGAAAACCTGGCTCATTTTTGGAAAATATTGAGATATAATTTTTAAATATTTTTTTAATTTGTTGATGGACCTTTTTTTTTTTTTAATTTGGAGGGAGCACTCTACCACTGAGCCACAACTCCAGCCTGAGACATAATTATTATTAGTAAATTCACCCTTATTAGGGCTGGGATTGTGGCTCAGAGGTAGAGTGCTTGCCAGCCATGCATGAAGCACTGGGTTCGATCCTTAGCACCACATAAAAATGAAATAAAGATACTGTGTCCCCCTATAACTAAAAAAAAATATTTTAAAAAATTAAATTCACCCATATAAAGCATACACTTCAGTGGTTTTCAGTATATTCAGAGTTGCGCAACCATCACCACAATCTAATTTTAGAATATTTTTATCACCCCCAAAGGAATCCTGTATTTATCAGTATGCCTCCTATTCCTTCCCCTCCAGCCCCAGCAATCACTTTCAATTTCTGTGGATTGCTTTTCTAGGACATTTCATAGGAACGGAATCACCCAACATGTGGCCTTTTGTCACTGGCTTCTTTCATTGGCATGATATTTTGGAATTCATCCATGTTGTAATGTGTATCAAGATTTCATTCTTTTTTATTGGACTTATCTGTTTAGCTCAGGTCTCTTTGTTGCCCAGACTTGAACTTGTAGGCTTAAGTGATCCTTCTGCCTCAGCCTCCTGAGTAGCTGGTACTACAAGTGTGTGCCTGGCTCATGGACTCAGCTTCCTTTGATACAGGCTAGGGCAGCTGCAGGTGTGCCTCTGATCTTGATACAGGCTAGGGCAGTTTGGATACCTCTGGCACACTAATGAATGACCTGCCCAGAGCCCTCTGCAGTTCCAGATACCTCTCCCCACCTGCTGTTCCTGGGATAGGCTGAGTAGCAGGGGTCGGCAGATCCAGGATCTGCTGTGTCAGGGCAGTCCAGCAGATCCTGCTACCCAGGTGAATCTGAGGGCTTTGGAGCTTATAGATACAACCTCTCTGAGTATAGATGGGGAGACCAAGGCCCAAAGGGGATACAGAAACATTCAAAATCCTGGGCAGAGCAAGAACTTCAACCTTCAGCCTTACATGGTCATGGCACTCTTTGTAGGGCATCCAAGAGCCCTCAACACTCTCCATTAGAGCCTGCAGCCTACCCCAGGGGTGGAGATTCCACCATCAACAGGTTGCTGTCCTGGCCAGGGACTCATCCAAGATACCACCATAAACAGATCTGAGGGCCTAGAGGAATGGGAGGACCCTAGGCCCAGCAGAAGGGAGGGATAGGGATGTCTGGATCTGAGACTCCAGGTCCCCCCTTCATGTGGCTGACTCCAGATAAAACTGTCCCGCTCCTGCCACAGCTGCCCATAATCCATGATGGCACAACTCCATTGATGACAACCCTATCTAAATTCAGTGGACCAACGGCTGTGCTACAAAGGAGGATTGGGACAAAACTGCCCTCCCAGTCAGGACCACTCCACTTGGTCCTCCCTTAATGCCCCTCAACTCCCAACACACAAACCTACCTTTAGGGCCTGCACCTTCCTGTCCAGTAGGCTCTCGATATCCCCTGCCACCTTCTCCACCAATTTCTGAGGCTCATTCTCCTGCACCTCAAACAGGTTCCGGTTATCTTTGTAGATCTGGAAGGAAGCAGAAGCCAGAGGTAAAGCCAGAGTGGTTGCATACTCCCATACCATGGGCCCCAATATACTCTTTGCACAGCTCCATTCAGCTGAGCCTTCATCCCCACCCCGCCCTGACTTTGACCACAGAGACAGCATGGAGTCTAGCACCCTCACAGTCTCAGGGAAGAGGCAGGGCTGGTGCTCTATAACTTGCATCTGGGATGAGAGCCCAGTTTGGGCTGGTTGATGGCTAGTGGTTATACTTGCTGGGTCCAAGTTGTCACCATCTTGTCTGTGCCACAGGGTCCCCTCTTCAGGGACCTTGAGCAACACTCATTAACTAACTCAGAATGGCTATGAACAGCAGACAGGGAAGGGTGGATTGGCAGAGGTAGGAGGCAGGGCATGGGAGGAGATGGAGCCAATCAGCACACACTACATGGCCACATATCAACATAAAGATGATCTCACACCTGCGTGTACACACACATACACCCACGTGTGAATCTTATGCACATAGTTGCTGCTCCATATAGCCTGGGGCATCTGTACCCCTTTCTGCTGATGTAGCCCCGGGGCATTTGCAATCACTGTGGTGGGAGCTCTGGATGCCCCTCAGGGTTCCTTTGTCATTCAGGGCACAGATATGGAGGCAGGGAATAGGGAATAAGGAGCATGTGAGGGGGATGAATTTGCCCTTTCCTTCTCAGAGGGTGGAACTGTGGGCATGTGCATGTGCCAGCACACTGAGAAAGGGGGCCTAGGTCCTCTAGACACAGCCAAGGGGCTTGTATGTATGTGAGTCTTAGGAACAGTTTTCTGCAAGTGTCCCTCCCTCTTTTTTTTTTTTCAGTACTAGGGATTGAACCCAAGGTATTCTATCACTGAATATATCCCCAGCCTTTTAAAAATTTTTATTTTGAGATAGTATCTCACTAAATTGCCCAGGTTGGCCTTGAACTTGCCTCAGCCTTCCAAGTAACTGGGATTACAGGCGTGTGTCACTGTGCCTGGTCTCTGCAGGCATCTTTGTTTGCGAATGGGGTCTTGGGTGTGTGTGTGTGTGTGTGTGTGTGTGTGTGTGTGTGTGTGTGTGTGTGTGCTCATCATACATTCCTGTGTTCCTAAGCCTGGTCAGATCCATGTATCCATTCAGGTGGCCTCAGGAGTCCTGTGCCCTAAGTTGCTTTTTTTCACCACCAGAGGTCACAGGCCAGACTGCCACGACTGGGCCATACCTCCAGGCTGTGCAGAAGTGAAAGGACCTGGAAAGAGAGGAGGTGATGAGGGGGAGATAAGGAGATGACAGAGGCAGCTGATGAGAGACAGACAGTCAGGGAGAGATAAGGTCAGAAGAGTGACACAAGACAGTGGAGAGATAAGGCCTCTGTCAACTGACAGGGGGATGGGCTGGGGGTTGCTACAGCCAGAGCCCCTGCCCTACTGCCCACCTAGCACCCAGCAGTCTGAGGGTTAAAAGCACAGCACAAAGCAGACTCAGGCAATCTTCTCCTCCTCCCGCCACCCCCATCTCTCCCAGCTTCTCTTTGCTTTTTGTCCTTCTCTTAGAACAAAATAATTTGTGGTGAAGTCGCTCCTTCCTGCAGAGCAGTGGCAATTAGGGGCGAGTTGTGGGGCCTGGCTACACAGCCAGAGAGGACAGCGGCCCCAAGTGGGCACCAGGACAGGTTGTTCTCCAGGCCTCAGGCCCTGCCTCAGGACAGAAGCCCTCTGATGGAAGACAGTGATGGAGGCAGGGGACATGGTGGTGGGGGGGCGGAGCCTGAGGGGGGGTCACAGGGAAATGCAGTGCTTTACTGTTGAGGAAACAGGATCAGAAAAAGGAGAGGACAAGTCAAGGCCATATGAGTGAGTGGCACATCCAGGGTCCCATCTACCTTGACCCATTCTTTTCAGGTTTTGGTACATTCAAAACATCTCCTTTCCCTTGCCTGGGACCACAGCCCCTGGGTGTGTTGTGGTCATGGTTTCCTTCGCACTGGCTTAAGCCTCAGCAAAGTGGTACCCCAGGCCACTTGCACCAGCAGGGGGCGCAGCTGCCTGGCTTCTTCAGGGCCAGAGGATTAAGTTCCCATACCTTAGACTCTCCTCCCTGTCAAGGTCATTCCCAGGATCTGAGGAATATAAGTCTACTGACACCTTTCCTGGGGAGACCTAGAACTCTCTCCCTAGAGCCCAGGGTTCCCTTTGAAGCCTTGCATGGCAATTGAGCTGAGGCTTGGGGCCTGCAGAGGAAGATCACTAGGAGTCAGGGCCATATCCAAGGACACTAGGTGACACAATGGCTTAGAAGCTGAGATGCTGCCAAAAGTCACCCATCTCTGAACCTCAGGGTCCAATATATTAAATGAAAATGGCAATTCTCATCTCACAGGCTGACAGAGGACAGCCCAATTCATGCCTCAAGAACCCTGTAGTGGGGCTGGGGCTATGGCTCAGCGGTAGAGCACTCGCCTAGCTCATGAGAGGCCCTGGGTTTGATCCTCAGCACCACATAAAAATAAATAAATAAATAAAATAAAGGTATTAAAAAATGTAAGCATGATATATTAAAAAAAAAAGAACCCTGTACTATTGTTGTTACTGATATTGTTTAGGGTTTCCAGAATTCTGCAGAAGCCAACTTGGTCGCCCCATCCCCTCCATTCTCTCACAGCTAGATCTGCACGCTCAGGGCTGTATAAAGCTATCAGCTTCCATTCCTGAGTAGGCAACCTCAATCTCCTGAGGTCTGCCCACTTCCAGCCCCATTCCCTCTTCTAAGGTCCCTCCCCCAGCCACCCTGTTCTTGTCCCCAACACTTAGGCCTTAGCCCTGGAGGTGATAACTGTGGAGCCAGTGATAACTAGGGAGCCTAGACACCAGGTCGCCACTGATGGAGCACAGCCAGTCAGTTCCTTTCCATCTCTCCCCATGCATCATGTCTGTGTGCAACTGATACTCAACAAATATATATGTTGGATTCCATGTTCAATAGCAGAGCTCTGGGATCTGTGTTTTATTCCTCCACTTCTCTCTGAAGTTGTGTGAGCCCCCAGAGCCCAGGGATGTCTCTGCTATACTTTCTCTTGTTCCACTTCTACCTAAGAACCCATCATGGCACCTTTCTGTTGGTCTCCTGTGCCAGTATTTTGGGCCTCTCTGGCCCACTGACCTGTCATGTGCCTGTAGGCCATGCTGACTCCCACTGCATTACTTTTGCTCATGCTATCTCTGCTTCCACTGCCTACCTAAATCCTCTTTAGAGTGAAGGCAGAGAAGTGGGTTGGAAGCAGTTTTGAATGAGATGAGGGCAGAATCCAAAAATGGCATGGGCTGGTCAAGCTGCTCAGCCAAGCCTGTTCCTGATCTTGAACAAGCCTCTGAGATGTAACAGTCCTTGAATGGCAAATCCCTAATGTTCACCCTTCTAACATTTTCCTGGATCTGCTCCAGCAGCTCTGTCTCCTGGGCAGGCCCTGAGCTGAGCCCCAAGCCCCAGGGAGAGATCCAAGTGATATAGCCTAACAGATGGCCCCACCTTGGGAGATAGGTCATCTCTATAGTGATGTGGTCCAGGGAGTTCCTTTTCACTGTGGTCCCTAGCAGGGAACCCAGGAGAGCTTAGGGCAACTCCAAAGCCTGGACTCTGCCCAGGGCTAGCTCCTTTCAAGGCCCAGCCCTCAGCACTGCTCCCAGGGATCAACTAGGAAGTGGCAGAAAGGACAAGGCACACATGGTACAGATCCTCAACAACCATAGCAGGACCACATGCTCATTGGTGTCCTTGGCCCAGACAGTTGATTGGAAAAACCCAACAGCTCCCACAGTAGTGCAGCCTGAGAAGTCCTTGTTTCTGCCCAGGCATCTGGATGGAGGAGAGAGACGGAGACTGCAAGTTCACAGGCTGTTGCAGCTAGAAGTCAGTCATGATAGGGAGGAAGAGGCGGGGCTTCATCCCCAGGAGAAGGTAGGATGGTGTTGGGGCAGGGCACCAGATACAAACAGGTGGGCATGTGGGAGAGGGCAGGAGACAGTAGCAAAGGGGCTGAGGAACAGGGAGACTAGGGGTGGCTGGGGTCATGAGAGGCAGTTTAGGGGACAGTTTGGAGCACCCTACTAGTTATAAAGATCTATCCCTTCATCTCTGCATGTCCCACCTCCCTCCAGTGCTGCTCTGACCCCAATTGTCTCTCAGCTCCAGCAATTCTTTTGTTAAGCAGCATGTGCAGCCAGCCTTCTGACCCAGAGATTTTAAGAGAATGAAATCTCCTCAGGGGCCCCAAACCCGCTGCTCAGCCTCCAGCTTCCCTGGGAAGTTCCACATAAACAAGAAGTGAGCCTGGAGAGCATTTGCAGGAATGGAGGCCTTGAACAGGAAGCCTGAACCCTTGTAGGGCAGAGGGAGCCAGCCTTATCCTTCTAGTTCCTGACAGGGAGAGGTGGTGGAGCTGCTACAGCCCTAAGATGCCAGGAACACAAAGATAGCCCCTACAGTAGCCCAAAGGCCTCAGGACAAGTGACACGGAAAGGCCCCAATCAGAGGGCATTTTGCAAAGTCCTAGCAAGCCAGCAGCAGTGAGGCCCAGACCTGAGCCAGCACCCAACCAGCCCAGGGTGAAGATGAAGGTGGCACAGGAGAGGGAAAGGAGCAAGAGGAAGGGAAAAGAGAGGACGGACCATGCTCGCCACGGGAACAGCCCTGTTTGCTGTTGAGCATTGGCTGGGATGGGTGCTTTACATACTTGGCCTCAATGATCCCCAACAACCATTAAGGAGGATCTCCATTTAGGAGGTAGGACACTGGGGCCCAGAGAGGTAAAGTCCCATACAGAGCTGGATTGATGATTGAAAGCCTTGGCTTTAGGGCCCACTTGTGTAGTTCCACCCCTGTATTTATATGTCCCTGAACGTGAAGGTGAGGCCTGTGGAAAGGGGACATAAAGTGAACTGGGGATCAAGCCAGCCCGAAAGGGGACACTGATGCTAAAGGACTAGTGACAGGTAAAAGGGCC